CAATGAGAATATTTCATTCATTCAGATCTAGGATGTGTTATTTGAGTGTTCCCTTTATTTTTTTGAGCAGTGTATACAAAACCACAAAAATAGTTACTTTTTTGGCACTAGCATAGCTCCATACAATATCTTTCTGATGAATGTTCCTGGTCACTGATGTCTTGGGCATAAACTCAAAAGCTTCCTGCTCAACTGAAATGCTTTTTTTTCTTTTCTTTTTTTGCTTCTATCCAAGATTTTCACGTTTCCATGGATACCAAATATGTTTATGTTTAAACGAGGGGAGGTGCAGTAATCAGTGTTGGTAAAAAAGTAAAAAATCTGCCACCATTACCAGGGGCGTGGGGCTTAAAAGCTTTAAAATCTAAGCTCACCTTCAGTCCTTGTGGTGATAAACCCGAATCGCCGCCTATCCGACCCAACAGGTTGAGTTCACTCTCTCCGTGGCGGCTCAGGTAAATGGTTCTCGGTGTGACGTGGATGTTCATGAGGTAGTAGACGATCCGGCTCTGGATGTGATCCTGGACTCGGTTCACCAAGAACCTACTGCCCACGTCAAAGATCTTTATGTAGGAAAGTTTCCTAGTCAAAATAAGGAGAAACGGACATTTTTTATAAACAATTACTGAAATATTTAATCCGTTCACCTTCGTCACTGCTTTTGATATCCATGTGTATTCTATCATAAGCGCCTCTAGTAGACTTGTTCATGGTTTTATTGTGGTCGGTCACATTTACAAAACTGCACCATCCTTCACATTAAGAGGAATAAAGAGAGTTAAGAGACTTATCTTTTTATTTCAGGTTGTATATATTGAGATGTTGTGTTATTGTAGGGACAATGTCAAGATAGGTGGACCGTGAGTGTTTGCTAAATGCGGTAAGTGGTCTTGCTGGGCCTGAAAAAGTTTGAGAAACACCAAAAATACTTGGTAGGATTTTGTGTTTCTGCAGTGCTGTGACACATGGGTTGCTCAGTACCTGTCTTTCTCATCGTCTATAGACGTGTAGCTCGCCTTGTAGCACTCAATGCGCTGGATGAAGTCCGACATGGCCTCTTCTATGTCACGGTCGATATAATCTGGGCTGCCAAATTTTACTTGCTGTAAAAAAGTTGGTTTTAGACTTTAATAAACCCTTAAGCCATAAGGGTGGAAAGCTAAATGTCCGCAGGCAAAAACATACCAAAATAAATCACTAATAGCCTCACAGTTATCAGATTAAAGTGCAAACTTTTGGTACCTCTGTAAAGGTAAGACATCAAAGAATGATTTCCTGGTGTCAGTACTATTGTAGCTTTTACCCTGCTTGAATTAAATACAGCATTTTTTTACCTCACAAAAATTTTGTTATAAATAAACATTGCAAAACGTCACTAAAATATTATTTTTCACACAAAAAAGTAGTTTAGATTTTTAAATCTACATGTTGGGTAAAAGTTCACCAAATTTAGACTCACTCAGTTGAAAAATATGGTGTTTTATAAATGTTTTACTGAGAAATGTCCCAGATGGAGAGGTCATTTGGAGACATTTATCCAAAAATGTCTCCAAACTGTGCCAAATGTGTTTTTCACATCAATACTGGGAATTTATTTAAATTAAATCACTGATTACCATTGAATGACACTTAGTACATATAATATAACCATTGGTCATGACATTTACCCCATTTATATGCAAAATGTACCATTGTGCATAGTATAATATGTATAATAATGATGAACTGAAAGCTCTTTCTTTGACTCCAAATAGAAAACTTTTATTGAAACAAGGTAAAACAGTCAAAAATACTTTTTGAAGTAATTTCCAAGAGCAAATAAACAATTTTGAAAATCCACCACCAAAAAAAAAAAAAAACAAAAAAAAAAAACAAGTTCAA